AAAAACATGTCAGAGTCGTGTGGGGCATGCAGGAGGCAGCCAACCAATGATTCTCATCGTTGATTCTATCTCTCTCCCTCTTCCTTCCTCTCTGAAGAGGAAGAGAGATAGAAATATCAATGATGAGAATCATAGATCGCACGACTCACACTGGGGATCAAGCCCGCAACGTGGGCATGTGCTCTGACCAGGAATCTAACTGTGACCTTCTGGTTCACAGGTGGATGGATGCTCAACCCCTGAGTCACTCCGCTGGGCACTTGATGATTCTTTTGGTCTCCAGTCAAGGGCAGCAGACTCAGCGGTGGCCTGCCTTGTTTTATGGCTTTGACAATTCCCTGTCCTTCCTGGGGTCCCAGTTTCACCGCTCTGCACAATGGGGAGAGAGATCTTATCATCGCCAAGGTCTCTAATTTCACCATCACTGCAGGATAGCTCCTTTTTGTTCCTCCAAGACCATGTTCAAGCCAAGAACACCCAAAAATACCTTGGGAAAGGGGAAGGCCGCGGATGGACCTGGCCGGCCTGGACTGTGAATGTTTAATGTGTCACATCCCAATTACAGCTCATCTTTGGAGGGTGTTTTTCTCCGGGCTGGGCAAGCCAGCAGTCCTACCCCCACTGCTGAGCCCCGGAGGCCAAACCAGGAGGAGATGGGCCTGACCCGGGGAGCTTGGGTGCTCTCAGTCTCTCCAACCCCATTCCCCCTTAACCCCCCCCCCCCAATCCTCTCCACGTGCAATGTTTATCGGGACAGGGCAACTGGGATTTGTGAGATTCTCCAATACTAAGGCCGTTAGAACCATTGTATGGACGGGTAAATGGAGGCACAGAGAGAGCTGGGTACCCTCACACCCTTGATGCATTCAGATCCCTTGGAAAGACCCTTCCAGCGCGAGGAGGCAGGGGGAGAGGAGGGGTCCCACGGGGGGGGGGGGCTTCCAGAGGGATTCTCAGAGGTGCTGGGGTCTCAGACCCCAAGTGTGTGTGTGTGTGTGTGTGTGTGTGTGTGTGTGTGTGTGTTGGGGGGGGGGGCTGGGCAGTTATAACGGATGGGTTCAACCCAGTCCCCGCTGCTCCCCTCCCTAAGGGCCCACGCCCAGGGAGCCGGGAGCATGGCTCCACTCCCCCCTTCCTCCTGAACTCCCTCCCGGAGTTCCTCCACCCCTCCCCCTCCTTCCTCTCCCCCCCTTCCCTCTCCCCATCCCCTCTTCTCTCCACCGCCCTCCTTTCTCCCTTCTCTCCAGCTTTTCCCCTACCCCCCCTTCCCCTCCATTCTCTTCCCCTCCCGCTCCGCCCTTCCCCTTTTCTCCTTCCTCCCGCATCCCTGCTTCTCCCCCTCCTCCTCCTCTATTCTCTCCCCTCCCCCTCCCCTCCTCCTCCAGTCCCCGACCTCCCCCCTCCCCTCCCGCCGCCCCTCCTCCCTTCCTCCCGCCTCATTAGGCGCGGCCGCGGCGCGGGGCCCATTAGCGGATCAATTAGCCGAGGTCGCCGGCGGCGCGTCGTTAAGCGCGGGAGGCCCGGCGGGGAGGACGCTCCGGAGACGGCACCTCCTCCCGCCCCGCTTCCCGGCGGAGCGCGCACCCACCCGCCCGCCGGCAGCCTCCCGGATCCTCCCGGATCCTCTAAACCACAGGGGACCGCCCAGCGGCAGGATGGGGTGAGGGGGGGCTCCGAGGCCTAGAGGGTCTGTCCTTGGTTCAGCAGGGCCCCCCCTTCCTCGGAGAAGGCCCGTGGGTGGGGCCGTGGGGTTTGTGACACCCCCCCCCCCTTCATCAGCCAGCAACACCAGTGATAATGTCCCTGACAGCTAGTGAGCCCTCGCAAGCTTCCTGCTAATTCTCCCCACAGTTTCCCAGAAACTGGGATCAGACAAGTGACTTGGTGCCTCCAATCACTCCTTAGGGCAGGAGGGGGTACAAACCCAGGTCTGCGCTCAATACATTTGCTAACATGTATCGAATTGCTTCTATGCGCACATTTAAAAAAAAAATGCTACTGGCAGTCCCCATCCCTTTCCTGCTTTGTTCTCCATCAACAAGCCTCCCGATACATTTTGTGTTTCCCTTATTTGTTTATTCCACAGGGGAGGGCGAGGATCTGTGTCTGCTTTGTTCCCCGCGGTGTCTCTGGGGCTCCTGGTCGGGTCTCAGAAGGAAAGGATGGCTGGCCAGGCTCTGCTCTGAGCGCTTTTCCAGGTGGGGGCGGTGAGGGGGAAGGCATTCAGAAAAGTAACTTCTGGGAATCTTGGGAGGGTTAGAATGCAGCGGAGGGGGGGAAAGAGGACATTTTTCCAGGCACAGGGAACAGCATGTGCAAAGGTCTCTAGACAAGGAACAGCAAGATGATCCAACCTGGCTGCAGTTTGCAGAAGGAGACTGATGGCCAGGTGTGTCCAGTGGGACTCGGTGAAACACTCAGAATGTGTTCTGAGGGATACGGAGGCCAAAGACAATCTATTCTTTTAAGTAATTGCTTTAAATTGTGAGATATCACACACAAAAGAGCAAGCGGGTTGTAAGTAAGCGAACAATTGGATGAGTTATGTCAACGTGAACAGGGGCAACCAGCCCCCGAAGTGAAACAAAACATGACCAGCGCTGTTAGAATCCCCTCCACTCTTACCGCCCCTCGAGGGTGTGACCAGGTGAAGGCACTTGGATTTGCTTTTGCTCTTATTTATTTATTTAAATATATTTTATTGATTTTTCACAGAGTGGAAGAGAGAGGGATAGAGAGTCAGAAACATCAATGAGAGAGAACCATCGAACAGCTGCCTCCTGCACACCTCCCACTGGGGATGTGCCCATAACCAAGGTACATGCCCTTGACCGGAATCGAACCCGGGACCTTTCAGTCCACAAGCCGATGCTCTATCCACTGAGCCAAACCGGTTTCAGCTGCTTTTGCTCTGTGTGTAGGTGGAATCACACCAAGCTTTTCTTTTTGTACCCAGCTGCTTTTGATCAGCATTGTGTACGAGAGCTGCACGGTGTTGAGTGTAACAACAGCACCTTTTTCACAGCGGTGTAATATTCCACAACACAGCTGTGTCCCAAAGTGTGTGTGTTCTGCTGTTACCGAACATCTGGTAATTTCCAGTTTGGGGCCATGACGACTCACCTCCAGGGTTCTGGATACTCTTGTCTCTCTTGGCATGCCTGTTGGGGGATGGGTCTAACAGGGGCATGGCTGGCTGCCAAGCAGCCTTCCAAAATAGATGTTCACTGTTTACACGGCCCAAGTGTGACGTCTGCTTTCCAGCACAGGAGTGAACCTGAAGCAGTAAGCTACCGTCACATGGTGTTCTTCAGAGGCGCACTGGCTCCAGAGGAGAGGCGGACCCAGCAGGAGGTGGTGTGACTGCCCAGGCTCCTCTCCCCTCTCAATCTCCCTTTCTCTTTAGCAACATGAGACCTTTCCCTGAGGCGCAGGGGCCATCACCACCCATCATCCGGCCTCCCTTTCTGTGCACTTGCTCCCCCCCCATCCCGCCCCGAACCCACTGGATTAGGGAGGCAGATGAGAATTTCACGTGCTTTATAAAAAGTCCTCTGGGTGCTCCAGCTCCAGCGGGTGGGATTTCTGTCATCCAGTCCTTGCAAACTTGGGACGGCTGCCCACCCTCCTCACCCCCATGCCCACCCAAGTCCACATCAGGAAATCTTTCCTTTTGGTTCCCTCTGGGCGGGGGTGGGGTGGGAAGGGGAGGGCTTTCAATCTGTTCCTTGGGGAGGGGGGTTAAGGTTCAGCTGGGGGTCTGTATTCTCTGATCTGGAAAAAGGGTCCGTGTGTATGTGTAGGGGTAGATTCTGCAGCCTCCGTATCTGCTGTGTCTAAGGGGAAAGAATGTCATTTAGGGGCCTTTGGTCCTGCTAATCAGAAACCAGTTCCAGCACCTGGGCTGGCTGTGTGACCCGTAGCCTCCCTCGGACCCTCTCTGGTCTATGCATCACGTTAGGGAGCACACTTATAGGACTGACTCATCTAGGACTCTCAGGATCTGGTCCTGTAACGGGGGAGGGAGCCCAGACATAAAAGAATCCTCTTCTCCCCGGGAAGTGGGGTGGGGGGGACCACAGGCAGCCCGCAACACAAAGGCAGGAACACAGCAACCAACCTTCTCACATCTTTATTTGAAAGGCACAGCTAAGCCCACCCTCGATACAGCATCTTCACTTCTCTGCAGAGTTCAAACGACTGAACACAACAAAAGCTGACAGTCTAAAAGGCTATATACAGACACAGGTGTGGGTGTTGCTTTTTTTTTTTTTTTTTTTTAATATCCCCTTTCTTAAAAGACAAGCTAGTATACTGGAAAAAAGAAAAAAAAAAATAAGAAAAACCAAGACAACTTGAGTACCCTCATCTTTATTCGGGAAAGGGAGAAGGGGAATCTTGGGTTGCCCACCCCCACCCTGCTCATCCTGGCTTAACTTCTGTCCCTTAGTGGGCGAGGAGAGGAGGAGAGAGGACCAGGTGGGCATGAGCATCTGAAACTAGCAGAGGTGAGTGGGTGGCAGGGAGAGGGAGAGACAGGGGTGCCCAGGGCAGGGAGGGGCAGCTAGCATTGTGTTTGCATGCAGTGCCAGGGTGGGAGGCTGGGGTATGCCCTACGGGGGCCCAGCAGGCATACTGTCAGTTACACATGTGCAAAACGGGGAAGTGCAGGGGGTGTTAGACTTCTGGAGCTTTTGCCTCCGGACCTGGCCTCCCATTTGCGTCTCCAGGCCTCAGCTTGCCTTATCTGTGGTACAAGCAGGTATTGACCCAACCAGGCTGCGGGGTGGGGGTGGGGGTGGTGGAGGAGGGAGGCTGGGAGCCAGAGCAAAGCTAGGGGGTGGCACACAAGCAGGGCTAAGGGCCCCAGCAGCTACTAGAAATACTACCGGAGCTCAGCCAATCCCAAGCTGTACTGTCTTGCAGTGAACGTTCCTCTCTCTCTGTGTATCTTGTGTCTCCTCTTTTGTCCTCCCACCCTCCCCATCCCCGGCCACCCGCTAATCCGACTTCTCCCCGTCATCTTCCTGGTGAGTGTCACCGTCGTGCCCATTCTTGTCTTCCTTGGAGAGATGGGCCTGGGAGCCCAGCGCCGAGAGCGAGAGGAGGCCAGTGCCCGCGCTGACCGCCGGCAGGGAGGACGGCTGCAACCCCACGGGCAGCGGGGTCAGGGGCAGGGCCAGAGCCTGCAGCTGAGACAGCTGGTGGGCTTGGAGCTGCTGCTGCAGGACAGAGGGAGGGGGTATCAGCCGCGTTGGGCTCCTTGGCCACCTGTCGTCCTGCGGCCCACCCCAGACCCCGGACTTACTCGGATGATGGAGTTCAGCTCTGGAGCTGTGACCTGCTTAGCTCGCTCGATGGCTCCCAAGACCTGCTGCTGGTGCTTGAAAGAGAGAGGACACGGGGGGTTGTGCCAGCCCAGGAGAAGCCCTACTCCCTTTTGGCTTCATAGTGCTATCCCAGCCCCATGGCTTTCTGTCCATCAGAAAGCCGCCCCGGCCCAGCAGCTTCCTTTCACCAAGCCTCAGCCTCTTTGTTTGGAAAATGGGGACAAATGGAGACGCATAGAAAAAAAAACAAACCCGAAGGGGTTGGGGCCAGACACCTAGGAAAAGGCCTTTGGGTGAGGAGGGAAACTTTGGATCCTGGAGCCATGTGCAAAGAGCAGTGCAGAGCACAGGGAAGCCTTGCTCCTTCCAGGGCTCAGAGACTGCTGGGAGATCTGCTAATCTGAGCTCCCGTCCTCCCCGCACACGCCCCTGGCCCCTGGCCCCTGGCCATGACTTCTGGCAGGACTGAGGGATGAGTCTAGGTGTAGGAAATACCTCCCACCTATTCCCACCCTCCTTGCAAGTGGGTCTCTCCTGCTCTCAGATGCTAGAACCTGTCATCTTCCTTTATGCCGTGATGGGAAGCCCATCACGGAAAGTAAGTACAAGTCTAGGCCTGCAGGGCTCCCAGAACCCTCTTCTCTGGGCTTTTCATGGTGTCCTTCTGGAATGGCCCAAGGCACACACATCACCCAAAGGTGCCTGAGGTACGGGTAGGGATTAAAGAGGGAATGAATTATCCACCGTAAACCTGGCGGAGAGCAGCAGCTGGGTCTTATTCAGTCGGGTGCGGCACAGGTGTGGGGTCTCTTACACCAAAGGAGTCTGAGAACCCCAAGAACTAGAAGGGAAAGAGCGGGGCGCCTGGTTCTCCTGGATGTGTGCATGTGTCCATGTGTGCCTCTCATTTGTACACATCTGTGTGTGCATTAACCTCTGCATGCAGCTGTGTCTGCTTGCGTGTCTGTGTCCACACCCACATCTGTATCTGTGCACATGTGCGTGTCTCTGCACCTGTGGCACAAGCATGTATCTGCGTGTGCCTGTGAGTATGTGCGCTGTGTGTATCTGTGTGCTGCATTTGTTTATCTGTCTCTTTGTATGTTATCGTGTGTGTGCAAGCGTGCCCTCCCGCACACACCCCACCCCTGTCCCTGGCGTGAAGCAGCCCACTGGGCCTGGCAGGTCCATCTCAGGAGAGTGAAAGGGATAAACAAAATAAGGGGGGGATTCTCGGTGCAGCCCTTGGCATAGCTAACATTTTTACAGTGAAGTGACTCACTCAGGCTAGGCATTCCAGAGCAGGGCGAGGCCCCTCCTTCCCCTGCCCTGCGCCCCGGGGGCTCTCAGCCCAGGGACTTTCCGCACAGGCTGACTAGAAGCTGGAGACCCAGAGAGGGGAGGCATGTGCCCTGGGGCACCCAGATCACTGCTGCCCAGGTGACTGCAGCGGGGAGGACCTGGAGCAAGTTCATCTATCATCCCCTCTTCACAGAAGCCCCGGGGTCAGAGCTTACCTCTTGGGAAAGGTAGGGGAGGACCTGGGCACAGATCCCATTCAGCCTCTTGACAATTTCAGCCTAGAACACACACACACAGACTCTTTAGTCCCCAGCCCTCTCCCAAGCGCAGGTGCAGACCAGCCCCAGAGGCCGGGGGTTCTGTCTAAGAGGGATCAGCTTAGCCCAGGGGGGATTAAGACGTGGGGCCCTAACCAGGGGCAAAGGCAGGACCTGAGGCTGGTGCTCCGCCCTGCAGCTGACAGTGCGGGCACAGTCCAGGATCCAGCCAGGATGTGGGTGGCCCTGGGTACATGGCCTCCGGCGCCTGGCAGGTAGCGAGCACTCCGCGGGAGGACGGGGCGGAGCAGCGGCATTATTATTCTGTGCCATCCCCGAGAGTGGCCTCCTGAGGGCAAAGACAGCTAAAGCAAGGCCGGAGGGCGAGGAGCAATCTCAGGGTCTTGCCAAGCATGTGAGTGTGAGTACAGGTCGCCCTCCTGCCGCTGCCACAAAGGGGTGGCAGGTCTAGGGAAGGCCTCTGCCCTCCTCCTCGGGCAGAGCCACCTCCCAGGGAGACCTGAGAGAAGGGGGGTGCCTGGGAGGGAACAGGATCGGATCGCCAGGGCAGGCTTGGCATCCAGCCAAGGGGCGGGCCCCTGCCTGCCTGGGGGTGCCATGGAGAGAGGGAGAGGGCGTACCTGCTTGTGCATCTCGATGTTCAAGCCGTAGGACATCTCGTAGTACTGCAGGAGGAGAGACAAAGGGAAAGAAGTGGGGTTGGTGAAAGATGGGGGAGGAGGGGGCTCAGGAGACAAAGAGATGTGGGTGACAGAGACAAAGGGGGAAGCAGAGCAGGGGAGAGAGAGAGAGAGGAAGAGGGGGGGGGAGAGAGAGGGAGAGTGAGCGAGAGAGAGAGAGAGAGAGAGAGAGAGAGAGAGAGAGAGAGAGAGAGAGAAGGAGAGGGCGGGAGGGAGGGAGAGAGAGAAAGAGAAAGAGAGAGAGGGAGGGAGGGAAAGAGGGAGGAAGAGAGAGAGGGAGGAAGGGAGGGAATAGGCAGTGATGGAGACAGGCAGGTAGGAGGGGGGAGACCCCCACACTAGGAATGGGCCCGGGTGCCTGGTGGGCTGCTTCCAGGGCTGAGGGAGCTCCGAGGCAGCCTGCTCCCTGTTTTCTGAAGAATTATCCAGCCCCCCCCCCCCAACACACACACACACACACACACACACACACACACACACACACACACATTCCAGAGCTCCTAATCTTTTATCTTTATGTGTCTTGTCTGCGGGTGGCCCCAGACTGCAGGGAAGTTTGCCTTCCTGGGTATAAATAATGGAAGATAAACAAGGCCTGCCGAGTTTGGCTCTGAAGCCAGGAGCCCCCTCCCCCAAGCCCCAGATCTAACCCTGCCCCCTCCCCTGTTCTAAACCCTCTCATGGCTTCCCATCCCTGCCCCCCCCCCCAAGCCCTGTGGTTCTTAGGCCTTTGCTTAGTCCTTTGTCCCCCATCATCCACCCCCCAACCTCCTACTCATTCTTCAAGGCCCCAGGGGCAATGCCCCCACTTCTCCAAGCAGCCTTCCTCTGGAAGGCAGTGGCTTCCCTCTGGAGTCCCCGGTCCCTGCAGGGGGGCCCTCTCTGCCCAGCCCCCTCCTCCTGGAGCTGGGAGCTGGAGTGTCCGTCTCTGCCTCCCCCACAGCCTGGGAGAGCTGGAGACTGGGCCAAGGCCAGGGCTGTCTGATGTGGACCTCACCACCTGGTGAGTATGAAACAGCTAGTGATTCTGGCAGCGAGGATGGGCAGGGTCTCAAATGTCAGTGGGAAGAATGCCTTGTCACCCCCTCCCTCCCACCAGCCTCAAAGGGTGTCAGCCTGCTGGGGGGCAGGAGAGGGAAGCCCAAGAGTCCTCTTCCCAAAGCTTGGGAGAGGAGGGGTTAAGCATGGGATGCCTGGATTGTGGGGGCGGGGATCCGGCTGCTCCCCCACGTCAGTTCCTGGCTTCCACCCGCTGCCTCCTCTGCTGGCTGCCAAGGACAGCCAGGGGACCTGGCAGGCCCAGGCTGCATCCCGGCGGTTTGGCAACTGCACGGCCGCCCGGGCCCGCAGCCAGGCCGGCAAGGTGGACCCTGAATCCTCACACTTCCCAGAGGCGGCGGCTGGGTTTCGGCGGCAGCTGCTGGTGGTGCAGGCCAGTCTGGGCCGCCCCCATCCCCACCTGCTGGGCCTGGGCCTGGGCCGGCTCACCATCACGTAATGACGCTGCATCTCCGACTTCTCGCTGGCCAGCTTGTCGCATTCGAGCTTCAGGCTGAAAAAGAACACGGGACAGGGGCTGGGGCCCGGGCTTACCCCCAAACTTTGACAACTCGACCTCCTGGGAGGACAGGGTGAGGGGAACCTCACGTGCCCTAACTGTAAAGTGTGTGTGTGTGTGTGTGTGTGGGGGGGGGGGGTTAAGAAACCAGCCTTGCAGATCTGGGGGTGGAGAAAACGACAATGACAATAATAAAAACAACCCATCAGAGCAAACACCCTGCGGGGTCAGCCAGGGATTCAAGCAACCTTTTCCCCATCCCACAACCCAATGAAGTCAGCACCGTGAGCATCACTCCTTGTACAGATGACGCAATGGGCGCCCAGAGAGGCTGAGTAACTGGCTCAAGGTCACAGAGCCCGGAAGCTGGCTTCAGAGCCACCCACGAACCGCTGGGGAAAACTCCGACGAGGGGAAGGACAGATAGAAAGCATAAGGGGCCCAGGAGAGGTCCAGGGCTGACGGATAGGGTTCTGGGTGGGACTCGCCAAGTAATCTCCTATGGGGCCCAGCCCCTCTTATGGCCTTGATTTCACCAGGGGGTAAAGGTTCTATTGCTGGGTGGTAAGAGATGGGGACCCCCTGGCCTCTCTCAAGCTCCCCAAAGCAAGGAGGAGCTTCAAGCATTTCTTAAAGCTTCCCCTGCCACCCCCACCCCCACCCCCACCGTGAAGGCCCCTGGGAGAAGGGCAGGAATCAGATAGTACAGACTCAATCCAGACAGACTGGGTTCAGAGTTCAGCCCTGGGACTTGGATGCTGTGGGAGTCTGGGCAAACCTTCCTGCCTCTCTGGGCCTCAGTCTCGGTGCCTGTTAAAAGTACCAAGCTCCCTGGTGGGATGATGAAAACGAAATGGGTTAAACCAGAAATGTCCTTAGAATGATGCCTGGCATACTGTAGCACCCACTCAGTGCTTGTGGGGCTCACCGTCACCCCAGGAACCTGTGTGACACTCTGCCAGACTGCCCATAACTGTGCGTCCAGGTCAGAGATAGCCATGGCCAGGGCTGTTGTGACACCCCCTGCCCCTCCTCCCCCCGTCTTGGTTTTGTTTTCAGATTTTTTTTTAAAGTTCATTTGTTGCTACCATTAAAAAAACAAAAAAAAAACCCCAGCCCCTGCCAATTTAGCTCAGTAGTTAGAGCATGGGCCCGAGGACTGAAGGGTTGTGAGTTTGATTCCGGGTCAAGGGCACGTATCTCATACCTCGGTTGCAGGTTCAAACCCAGGAAGCAACCGTTTATTATGTGTCTCTCTCACATCAATGTTTCTCTCTCCCCCCTTCCCTTCCACTCTTCCTAAAAATGAAAGGAAAGCATATCCTCACTCCTTGGGTGAGGATTCAAACAAACAAATAAAAACAGGTGGGGCCCATAACTCCGCTGTTAAAGCACTGTCCTCATACACCAAGGTTTCGGGTTTTGATCCCCCGTCAGGGTACAGACAAGAATCAACCAATGAATGCTAGGTAAGTGGATCAACAAATAGATGTTTCTCTGTCTCTCTAAACACACACACACACACACACACCCAAACAAAACACCCCCCCCACACACACACAAAACAAAAAATTAAAAAAAAACAACAACAGGCAGTTTCAACCCAAATTCTGGATTCCTGGCTCTTCTCGAGGGCCGGGCGGATCCTGTGTGCCTGCACGGTAGGACCCTCACTGTACAGTGGGAAGCCCAGGCCCAGTGGATGGAGACCCGAAGCTTAGGGGGGGGGGGGCTGGTTTTCCCAAGGACACAGCACTATGGCAGCACTGGGACCTCGGGCTCAGGGACTGGCAGTCCCAGTGCTCACCGTGAGGTGGGCACGGGCCAGACAGGTGGGGAGGACCCCTGCAGGGGCTCAGAAAGGCCCCCAACTCTCCACATCATGGGACCAAAGTTCCTGTGCCTGCCCTTCCACCATCAGCGCCTCAGTTCCTCATCTTTTTTTTTTTTTTAAATATATTTTATTGATATTTTTACAGAGAGAAAGGGAGAAAGCGAGCGAGCGAGCTAGAAACGTCCATGAGAGAGAAACATTGACCAGCTGCCTCTTGCACACCCCCTACCGGGGACGTGCCCGCAACCAATGTCCATGCCCTTGGCCGGAATCGAACCTTTCAGTCCGCAGACCGACGCTCTACCACTGAGCCAAACCGGCTTCGGCATCAGTTCCTCATCTTTGAAATGGGCACAATAGCAAGGAAAATAAAGTAAAATGATGTATTTTCGGTATTTCACACTTTGGGAGCATGGGAAGGACCCTAAGAGGATGGATGTTGGTTAAAACAAAAAGAAGGAAAGACTATAGATCACTATCCCCCCAGTGGAGTTATGGGCCCCACCTTAAAGATCTCTTTGGGTGAGCCAGCTAAGGTGCAGAGAGGGCCGAAACCTTTTATGTTGAGGGTTTGCTTTCTTCAGCCCCAAAATGGGGTGCACATGTCAGTTCAGTCACTCCCTTGCTGTGCTTCTCCTAGGTACCCCTAAATCCTCTGGGCTTGGTTTCCGTAAGTGTAAGTGACGGATACTAATAGTTCTTCCTTTCCCTTAGATCCCAGTACGTGGCAACTGTTAGAAGACTGAATTCTGGAAGGAGAATGGGAATCTGTCGGACGCCAGGAATCCTTTCCCCAGAACTGGGCAGAGAGATAACAGGCAGAAGAATTTTTTCTTCGGGGGAACTTTTTCCATTATTTTTTTCTTTGCGGAGGTAGGAGGTCCAAGCCCAACTCCAGTTTTTAATCCGGTGGGGGTTGATGTGGGGGATGGGGATGGGGGGGCAGGGTTCTGAAGCCATCCAGCCGAGTCTGGCAAACGATTTAATTTTGTGCCCCCAGTTTTCTTACCTGTGAAATGGGCTGCTTGGAAAACCAAATGAATTTAATATCGCTAAGTGCCAGGGGCAGCGACCGCCTTACAGTAGGACACCCTGCACCTACATTTTCCCACGCTTTGTGTATAGCAAGGCCCATCACCTCCTTCTAGCCGCGTGCGCGGGGGGCTCCCCCTCTCCCGGGGCAGGGCCTGCGCCCCCGCTCACCTGTGGTACTGAGCCTGCAGCAGCTGGAACTCGTCCTTGATGCGGTCGCACGAGTCCGAGGTGGTGAACTTGAGCTGCTGGGGAAGGTGCGAGGAGCCCTGTGGGGAGGGGACGGGCCGGTCGGGGACAGGCCGGGCGGGGCGGCGGCCGCCCACTTCCCCCTGGGCGCCCGGAGGCAGCCGCCGGCGCAGCTGCAGCGCGCACCCCCCCCCCCCCGCCCCACTTCCCCGCCGTGTTTACAGCCCCCGGCGCGCCCGCCCGCGCTTCCTGCCCCCGCCTCCCCGGGAGGCCGCGGGGTGGGTGCCGGAGCCGCGCCAGCCTCCCGCCCCGGCGTGGGGGTGCGGTGCACAGCCCGCCCTTGGCGGGGACCCGTGCGCCCTCTACCGCCGCCTCGAGGCGCTGGGGGGGGGGTGCAACACCCAAGAACCCTGACTGCCTCCGGGAGGGGGGAGAACAAGTCCGAGGGAGTCCCTTCCCCAAGTGTGTGTATGGGGGGGGGGCCGAGGCCTCCCCGCAAAGTCCCACGGGGGAGGGGTGTCTCAGCGCCTGAAATGTAACTGGGCCCCCGCCCCCACCCCAGGCTCCCAGCTCCCTCCCCCAGGCCGCCCTCTCCCGCGAGGGGTGCTCCCCGGCTCTCCTCCGGCTCCCAGGCCCCCAAAGCAGGCCAGGCTTTAGGGGTGCCCGGGAGGATGGCGGGGGGGGGGGGCTCCCGCCCGGGGAGCGGGGCCCCCGCGGCCACGGTCACCCAGGCCCGGCTGGGCTCGGCGGGGGGCGGGCTGCGGGGCTCGGGGGCCAGGGTGCTGCCGGGCGGGGAGCTGGAAGGAACCCCGCCTGGGAGCTGGGGGGACCCCGGGGGCCCGGAAGCCGGGAGGGGGCACGGGGCTGCAGGGGGGGCGGAAAGTCTGGAGGGCGGAGGGAGTGGGGGCCGAGCAGCGCCGGGCCCGGAGCGGGAGGGGACCGGGCCCTGGAGTTGGGGGGAGGCGCCGAGCCGGGCGCTGGGGTGGGGGAGGGCGCAGGGCTCGGATCCGGAGGGGGGTGGCCCGGCGGGGACCTGGGGGCGCAGCGCCGGACCTGGAGGAGGGGAGCCCGGCGAGGATCGCGGGGGCCCCAGGGCCGGGTGCGAGGTGGGGGGGGGGTGGCCCGGCCGGGAGCTGGGGGTGCGCAGGGCCCGAGCCTGGAGGAGGGGGGCGCCGGGCCGCGGCCCCGCTTACCGAATGCCTGCTTTGTGGAAACATCATGTCAGTCGCCGCGGGGGGCGCGGGCTGCGCCCGGGCTGTGCGCCCCGGCTCCGGCGCCTCGGGGCGCCGGGCGGCCGCGCCTTTGTCCCGGCGCCGATCCGCAGCTCCCGGGCCGCCGCCGCCGCCTCCCGCTCCGGCCTCGGCCGCTTCCTGCGCCCCCGCCCCGCGCGCCCGGCCCCGGCGCGCCCGGCCCCGCTTCCTGCGCCCGCGCCCCTCCCGCCGCCGCGCCGGCCCCGCTCCTATTGTCTAATGGCGGCGACGTCGGCGGCCGCGGCCCGGCTGCGCGGAGGCTCCGGCTCCACCTGCTGCTGCCGCCCGGGCCCCGTGCGCGCCGCCGAGGGGGGGGCGCGCGCCCGGGGAGCCTGCGGATCCCCACCCCGCCCGCCGCCCGCCTCCTGCGGCCGCGGCTCGGTGACCTTGGGCTCGGCGCGGCCCCGGCCCTGCCAGCTGCCCGGCCTCGGTTTCCCTGTCAAAAAGGGGGGCCCCTCCGGCAGCCCCTGTCTACGCCGCCCGCGCTGTCATGGGGAGACCTGGACGCGTGCCAGGGACATGCTCTGTAACCTTGGCTGCTGCCTGGCGGTTCTCTCTGAAACTCGCTTTTTCTCTTCTGTAGAAAGGCTGGGGTCATGCCTGCCACACACACATTTATGGAGCACCTACTGTGTGCCAGGCCCTGCCCCAGGAAGTGGGGGTGAGGGGGGGTGGAGCATACAAAGTCCCAACTCTGGTGGAGATGACTTGAGACAGACAAGAGACAAGCAGTGGGGCCCAGACCCTGACAGGTCAGAGGCTGGAAACAGCAATGGAGAAAATAAATCAGTGGAGGCGGCTAGGAAGGTGCAGTTTTAAGCAGGGCTGAGTCAGAGAGGGACTCCTTGCCTGAAAAAAGGGCCCGAAGGTGACAGAGGGAGCCAAAAGGAGTATAGGGTAGGGTGGCTTATTCACGGAGGCAGTAACAGCAAGTGCAAAGGCCCTGAGGCAGCCCTGGTGTTGGTTCCCGGGAGCCGGGAGGAAGGGAGGCCCAGGAGGCAGGGTTAGCAGCTCCAGCATTAGAACAAGGCCCTTCTCCCAGAAGGGCCTGTGCTTGGATTCATGATCTGTGGCTGCGGTCTGGAAAGTCCTAAATATATTTTTTAAAATATTATTTTACTGATTTTTTTACGAGAGGAAGGGAGAGGGATAGAGAGCCAGAAACATCAATCAACTGCCTCTTGCACACCCCACACTGGGGATGGGCCTGGAACCCTAACCGGAATCGAACCTGGGACCCTTCAGTCTGCATGCAGGCTGACGCTCTATCCACTGAGCCAAACCGGTTTCGGCAAGTCCTAAATATTTTTTAACAAGAGGTCTCTAAGTTTCATTTTGAACTGGGCCCTGCAAATCCTGTAGCTGGTGAGGTATGGATGGTGCAGGGCCTTGTGGGCTGCAGGAAGGTCTCAAGATTGTACTCTGAAGACGGTGGGAGCCCTGGAGGGCTGTGGACAGAGGAGGGTGGCACCTGACTCAGATCTGATAGAATGTCCCCCCCTGCAATGTGGAGGTCAGGCCTCAGAGAAGCTGTTGAAATGTGCGTGTTACCGCCTTGGCAAGTATTAAATACACAGTCTCTTAATTCTCATGTCGTCGTCAACTGTGCAGCTCGCCCTCTACAGAAGAATAACTTTTTTGAGACTTGGGTTTTCCCATCTGTAAAATGGGAAGTTAGACCCTGTCACTTTTCCTGGGTAGATGAAGGCCTAGAATGAGGGCAAATTGAATAAGCAAAATTTAAAGCCCCCCCCCAAAACCCTTCAAGATAAATAATACTTTAATATAATATTTAAAAAATATATTTCATTGATTTTTTACAGAGAAGAAGGGAGAGGGATAGAGTTAGAAACATCGATGAGAGAGAAACATCGACCAGCTGCCTCCTGCACACACCCCACCGGGGATGTGCCCGCAACCAAGGTACATGCCCTTGACCGAAATCAAACCTGGACTTTTCAGTCCGCAGGTCAATGCTCTATCCACTGAGCCAAACCAGTTTCGGCTTAAACGTAATATTTTTAAAAACAAAAATTAGTGTAAAAAAAATTTCATGGTGCCCTGCTGGCGTGGCTCAGTGTTTGAGAGTCAACCTGTGAACCAGGAGGTGGTTTGATTCCTGGTCAGGGCACATGGTTGTGAACTCGATCCCCCATGTAGGGTGTGCAGGAGACAGCCAATCAGTGATTCTCTCTCATCATTGGTGTTTCTATCTCTCCCTCTCCCGTCCTCTCTGGAATCAATTAAAAACTATATTTAAAAAAAATTCATGGTGATGGAAGGAAACTAGACTTTGGGAGGTGAGCACATGATGTAATATACCAGTGGTCGGCAAACTGTGGCTCGCGAGCCACATGCGGCTCTTTGGCCCCTTGAGTGTGGCTCTTCCACAAAATACCACGTGCAGGTGCGCACATACTGTGCGATTGAAACTTCGTGGCCCATGGGCAGAAGTCATTTTTCGGCTCTCAAAAGAAATTTCAATCATTGTATTGTTGATATTTGGCTCTGTTGACTAATGAGTTTGCCGACCACTGGAATATACAAATGTAGGATTACAATGTTGTATATCTGAAGTTTATATAATGTTATTAACCAATGTTATCCCAATAAATTTAATAAAAATAAATACATAAAAATACATGATGAGCAGCCTGGCCAGTGTGTGCAGTGGTTAGAGCATTAGCCCACACACTGAAGGGTCAGGGGTTCGATCCCCGGCCCTGGCCAGGGCACGCTTGGGAGGCAACCAATGGATGCGTCTCTCTCTCACGTCTCTCTTTCTCTCCCTCCCCCTTTCCCTTCCAACAAAAACAACAACAAAATGCATGATGAACAAAATGCCAACCTGTTATCTCATGGCGGGATCCGATGGGGCCAGAGACAAGTTACAGAAATTCAGGGCCTCCCCAGTCCTGGTGCTGTACGAGAAAAGGAACAGCTTTTGGAAGGGTCTTCACTATTCCAGTCGGATTCCGGAACACACAGACCCCACAAGTCTTGTGAGACTCCCCGGATTGGGACGGGCTACGTTATTTTGGAGACCCTGGGCACAATGAAGATGTATGGCCGCTTGTTAAAAAACGATGAGGAATTCTGAGATGCTGATAACGGAGCGGTGAGACAGAGTCCTGTGGGAGCACAGGAGTGGCCTGCCCTGGAAGCTGGCCCTGCTCCCAACACACGCCTCCCACACACCCCGGGACCAGACACCGTCCTCCTGGGAGGCCCCTGCATCCCACCCTCTCCGGGGGCACCTCCCGGTAGGAAGGCTCTCCCTCGGAGACCAAACACTTCCGCGTTAACAGACTCCAGAGCGATCACAGACACTCCCGCACAGTGGGGTCAGGGCAGGGCCACAGGGAGGCACTCCGGGCTTTGCCTTTGAAGGAGAGTAATTATGAAAAAGTAATTTTCAGATAAAAGGGCCTGTCAGCACATAGCAAGGCCCAGAAGTGTGGCCCAAACTATGAATAATAATAAACTCACCCACATGCATGTGTCTTCACTACAGGCCAGGCTCTGCCTTAAGCATTTTATTTTATTTTTTAATTTTTATTTATTAAATTTTAAAAATATATATTTTATTGATTTTTTTACAGAGAGGAAGGGAGAGAGATAGAGAGTTAGAAACACCAATCAGCTGCCTCCTGCACTCCCCCTCCCCCCACTGGGGATGCACCCTCAACCAAGGTATATGCCCCTGATTGGAATCGAACCTGGGACCCTTCAGTCCACAGGCCGACGCTCTATCCACTGAGCCAAACCGGTTTTGGCTTATTTTATTTTATTTAAAAAAAAAAAAATAAAAAAAAAAAAAAAATATATATATATATATATATATATTGATTTTTTTTACAAACAGGAAGGGAGATGGATAGAGAGTTAGAAACATCGATGGTGAGAAAGAAACATTGATTAGCTCCCTCCTGAACACCCCCTACAACCAAGGTACATGCCCTTGACTGGAATTGAACCTGGGTCCCTTCAGTCTGGAGGCCGACGCTCTATCCACTGAGCCAAACCGGTCACGGCATGCCTTAAGCATTTTAATCCTGGGCACTGCCGTGGTCACGTTTGAATGAAGGGGAAATGAAGGCACGGAGAGGTGAAGGGCCTTGGCCACAACCACACAGCTGGCAGGTGGCAGAGCCAGGGGGTGGACCTAGGGACGTGGGCCCCTAACTCCACGTTACTGCCCTTCCGAGAGGGCCCGAGGCCGGGCAGGTCTCGGTAGAGCTGTGCCTGGGACTGGATTCTGTCCTCCCAGATCTCGCTGCGGAAGCCCTGTAGCCCCAATGCGGCTGTATCTGGAGATGAGGCTTTCAGGAGATAAGCTTAAGTGAGGCCGTCAGGGTGGGGCCCCGGTCTGAAGGCACCTGTGTCTTTACAGAAAGAGGAAGAGGGATCTCTCGGTCACACTTGCTGTGGAGAGGCCGCCGGAGGACAGCAGGAAGGCGGCCATCTGCAAGCCAGAGAGTTCTCGCCGGAAACAGAATCCGCTGGCACCTTGATCTTGGACTTCCCGGCCTCCGGGTCTGTGGGAAATACACGTTCATTGTTTAGAGCCGCCCGGCCCCGGCCCGGGGCGTTGGGTTACGGCAGCCTGAGCTGACTCAGCTGCGCTCTGCTTTGACGCGGCAGCCTCCTCCTGACAAAGATCACGTTCACATCCACCAGCCTTCCCTGAGCATCTGCTGTGTGACCAGCACCGGGCAGGGAACGGGAAAGGCCAGACCCTGCCTCGCAGAGCTGCCACTCCGCTGGGGATCATACGCACATACATGGAAATACAAAGACAGATATTATTATTATTATTTTTTAAAAATATATATTTTATTGATTTTTTCACAGAGAGGAAGAGAGAGGGACAGAGAGTTAGAAACATCGATGAGAGAGAATCATCGATCAGCTGCCTCTTGCACACCCCCTACTGGGGATGTGCCTGCAACCAAGGTACATGCCCTTGA